AACTCTAAGGTGTTACAAAAAAGCTTGGGTGTAGGTAATGATTGTCGTCTTCTTGAACGTGTATGGCAAATGGAGTTCTACCGTGCATCAATGCAAGTTCTTCCTGCGGACATTTATGCTTCTGTAGATGTTGGAGCAGTATTTGTATCAGAGGGCTACTTAGATTTTTATGTAAATGATCAGCGTAACTGGGCCATTGAACTACTGCGAGATGGAGACAAATTGCAAGAACATCAACAAAGATTTCAAAAAGATGGTCGATATGCCTCTATTCTTAAATATGCAAAGGAGTGGGCAATTATTGATATTCGAAATAGTAAGAAAGGACCTCCAGAACAAAAGGAAAAAGACGTTATTTATGTTCTTTGTGCTGAAAACTTTGAATCTGTTCAGCTGATATATCCTGATGGAACTAAAGATCATGTTAAATTGCTAGGTGAAGATGAAAATTTGCTTGGGTATGATATATCAGAATTTTTAGATTATTCTACATAGAGATCTATCTGGTTATGTCTTTATGGTTATCAGATCTCGTATATATTAATGCAAGCTTGATAAAATAAATGCAAAGTTATATTGGCTAAAGCACTAAGTAAATTGCAAGTTTTTTATTTTTTCAAGTTTCTACTTGCATACATATTGTTGAATCAGAAGCTCGATGTGAGCAAAAATTTTCATTGTTAGTTATGATAAACTAAAAGATAAATATAATTAATGAATGGAGTAGCGGACATCACTGGTCGAAATAGTAAAATTCAGTATACCGAAAGTTAAATCTAAAATGAATATAATCCGAATTTTATATATATTAAAAAATACCTGATTCCTGCCATTTGGCTGCCACTCAGTTTTAAATCAGTTGTCTAAATTCGGCAAACTATTAGCAATCACTCAGTATTAAATCAGTTGTTAAAATTAAATATAAATCGGCAAACTATTAGCAATCATTCAGTATTATAAATCGGCAAACTATTAGCAATCACTCAGTATTAAATCAGTTACCCCCTCTAAATTTTACCGAGTCTCTTTTACCATATGTGGTCATGCAGTGGCATGCAGTGTAATAAATTCACCATATGTGGGGTACGTCCAAAACATTTTAGGTAGCGTTCCCACAAAAAATTGTTCATCCCCAATAATTTTGACCAATCAAAATTTAAGATCAGGTGTCAAAACAAACGTGTTTTGTTTTCTAAGTAAAAAAGTTACGCATAAAATGAAAACCAAGAAATCTTTGTTATAATTAGGGTTAGGATTAGAACTATATAACGCCTATTAGTAAAACATCACAAGAAACATTTTTAATTAGGCCGCAGAAGGTTGTTTTCCTAATTAAAATGTAGAGTTATTCTTGTTTTTTTGTAAAAAATGGGTTCGTTTCGATTTTTACGTTACACCTGATCCTGAGATTCGATTGGTCAAAATTGCAGGGGGTGAACAATTTTTGTGGGAGAGCTAGGGGCGAACTGTGGCCGACAGATTTTCACTGATCGTCATTCTAGAATATTCTATTATGTTTAATTAGCCAATAAAAATTTGCCGATCATTGCTGACATGCCTACACGTTCTACATATTGGCCGATTTGATTCCATTGGCGATCATTTGTGATATTTTCAAATATGATCTTCAGAATTTGCGCCAATTAAATAATTAAATTATTGTGACAATCTCAAGTTTGTACTACATCCAAACTTGATTTTGTGATGACATTTTGTTGTAGACCAATAGCGAAAGCTTTACTTGAGCGAAAATAACTGAACTTTGAGATTTTAAATCAGTTCTAAATCAGTTTTTGAAATTTATAACTTGAGGTAATTCTAAAATCATTTTTATTTTTATAATTTACTATAAAAAAATGTATATATTTTTAATATTTTTTTTAAAAATATAGCAGTTAGCCGTATAATGGAGCCCAACCAAGAGGCTACTAAAATAAATTACGAGTTACCATTAATATGAGCAATTACTGATCTGGAACTAACCGGAAACTCTAAAATGTGTAATATGAAAAATGTTAATCAGGCTAATAGCAAAATTACCGAAATCGAACTAATTTTAAAAAATAAAGAAAATGTGTTTAAAAACTTTAACTATGGTATGTTCGAATGAAATATAGAAAGCATATAGTGTTAATGGTTGTATAGCTATTATAGTTATTATAATGTTTATTATAATATTTATTATTATTATTTTTTTTTACAGATAACTATTCGACTAGAGTTTTTGAACATAACTACCCAACTTGTTCACGTATTGATGCTTTTTATCGAACGAAAAGTTCTATATTCTATTCATGGTATAATGTTATATCATTAGGCTATTATCCACCAAAAGTAAAAAAAACTCAAAGGAAAGAGTATTGGATACCTGACGGATATAGTGTTGAAACAGAAATTGTGAACCAAATCTTACGCTGTGAAACTAAGTATATATCAAGTAATAAAGTAAGATATTCTATTATATGGAAACAAAACAATGCAGAATGGAGTGTATATAGTGACAAATCAGCAACAAATGTTGTAATTTCCTTTTTAAAGGTATTAATTTTTTTAATTTTTACTGTTTATATATAAATTAATACTATATAATAATAATAATAATAATAATAATAATAATAATAATAATAATAATAATAATAATAATAATAATTAGAAAGTCAATCAAGTATCTTCACGTTTATCTGGTCCTTATGTATTTGGATTAGATATTGAATGATTACATCAGTGTAGAATAGAACATATTATTAGTTCTAGATTTTCATTTTTTTAAAATGTTATAAGCAAAAAAAAATGACTATTTTCAACTTTACAAACTATATCAGGACAAAACAAAAGATTCGCTTCTTTTGGCAAAGATTCTAAAGAAGCAATAAACTCATTAATTGCTCAGCACCAAATGACAACTAAAGAAGGACAACCTATTGTTTATTTGCGTAATATAGAGTAAGATTTTAATGGTGAAATTGTAAATTTAAACATCAACTCAATTAATAATATGGATAATTTTAACAAACTTGATGCTATCATTCAAGCTTGTGATGAATCTTTAATGGGACATGATGGTTATCGTTATCTTGCAGCTGTTGAATCACAACTTATATGCCAATATCAAGTTGTTAATCGGAGAATTGAAATTACAAATATTATGAATCAAAAAATTAGGATTGGAACATTTAATATTAATCACAATATTAATAATCAACATGATGTTGAAAAATTTAGCACTGTTGAAGATATCGAAAATAATATTTTATTGATAATTTGGAAATTGAAAATGGTGTATATAGGTCAATTCGTTCAATTTTAAATATTCTTATTCCAATTTGAAAAGAATCTAATATTCTCAAATTTGGTGATATGATTCAACTTAAACTTGGTGGCGACAGTCAAAATGTTAGAAGAAAACAAAATCATGTAATGATTACCTTTTGCTTACTAAATGAAGGCAAGGAAGTATTAAAGCCAGATAAGCAATATTAGTATCTATAATTTATTTTATTTATTTATTTAGTTGCACAGGTAAAAAGATGGCAAACCAGATATAAATCAGGCATCTGATTTTAAACAGATTACTAACAAATTACTGCCTGATTTATGTATATTGTTGTACCAAATCATCATTACAACAATATATATAAATCAGACAGTAATCTGTTAGTAATCTGTTTAAAATCAGGTGTCTAATTTATATCTGGTTTGCCATCTTTTTACTTGTATTATTTATTGAATTTTATTTTTCTAATCTAATAAATTATAAATTTATATAGCATTTGCTTGTATGTCGGTAAAGAAAAATATGAACATTTAGCAATCATTGGTCATCTATTTGAATATCAATTATTTAATCTTCAAAATAATGGTATTATTGATAAAGATGAGATTCATTGGCCAATAGAATTTTTTTTGTCAAGGAACTGGAAATTCATGTATATTGTAATGGGTTTAAATGCACCTAATTCAAAGTATTTTTGTCTATATTGTAACTGTAAATCAGACATGCATTGGAATATAGATCAAATATTTGAAAATTCTAGAAATATGATTTGTTTTTTTTTTTTTTTTTAATATTAATGATGAGGCCATGCCTCTATCTTTATTGAATATTTAATTGAGATTATTACATAAAGCAC